AAAGGGCGTCTACACGGTACAGTGAGTTTACGAAAACGCAGGTGAACCCCTTAAGGCTGCTTTTTCGGGAATCATCGCTGGCCCATGAAGTAGACCTTCTTTGTCGAAAAGGCCTGACAGAGGAATCCAGTTTTTCAATCATGAGCAGAGAAGAGGAAGAGGGGCACAAAGCTTTATTTTCTGGATTCACACAGGTGAGGAATGCCTCCTCCAACTTTGGAGGGTTTTTACCAACGTCAAAAACGCTGGCGGCGCAACGTGAAATATTGTGGCGTTTCTTTAAGGTGCCACATTACAACCCGCCTGACAACGTTGAGTGCGGCGGGAAGTGGTGGGATTTTGTGGATCGCCAGATTGAGTACCCACGCATCATTATTTCAGGCCCTGAAATTACGGACAAATCTCAGGAAGCCCGGGCGCTCACAAGAGAGTTTAACCGACGTCAATATTACCGGAGTTTCAACGTCCATTGTGAAATTCCCCCGACGGAGGAGATGCAGGCTGCCCAAACGATGCATACACTAATTGCATTGCATTCTGTCAACAGGTCCAACAATGAGGCGCAGCCCATGCATGGGGCGCATTTCTCCTCCAATACGTTTTCACCCTTGATGAAACCTGAAACACGTAAACTGATGCCGGAGAAGTTTTCTTTTCGAGATGGAGTATTGGATGTGGTTCTTCCCGCAGATGCCAATGGAACGACGAGGATGTACTTTCGACCTTTACCAACATGGAAGGAGTTTCAGCTGGATGTCCGAAGTCTGCGTCGACTGTCACACGAACGTGCGGTGCAACTTTATGCAACAAAACGGTTAGAAATGCTGGAGTGCAAGTTTAACCTCCATGTTGCTCTCACAAACGATGATCAGGAGAATCACGCCCGTGATGCGCCTGTGCTGTTTGAGAAGGGTGATCTGTACAAGTGTGTCAAGGTGGATGTGCATTGTCACATGGCAGCCGGAATGACGGCGAAGGAACTTTTGAGTTGCATCAAGGAGAAGGTTCAAAAACACGCGGATGATGTGGTGGATGTTGAACGTGGGACCGGTCGGTTTGTTACACTTGGAGATTTGTTTGCAAAACTGCGAACTTCTCCACTGCAGGGGGCCGCTGTCAATTTGGAGGATCTTACGGTCGCCTCACTTAAAGTGAAGGCGGGGAATGGTACCTTTAACCGCTTTGATGAGTTTAATGGTCGTTACAATCCATTTGGTAACTCTGCACTCCGCACCCTTTTTCTAAAGACGGATAATTTTATGGGTGGTCGTTACTTTGCAGAATTGATACGTCAGACATTTCGTCGTCAGGCCGAGGACGGTCATGTCTTTTCGGAGTATCGTCTCTCCATCTACGGTCGACAGCGTCATGAGTGGGACCAGCTGGCGCGTTGGATGGTTTTGAATCACGCGTCGCACTCTACAAATCGTTGGATGGTGCAAATACCGCGGCTTTACTTTATTTACCGCAAGAATGGCATCATCTCCTCCTTTGAAGAGATGCTGTCGAACATATTTGCACCGCTGTGGGAGGCGTCCATGCATCCAGAGGCGCACCCTTTTCTAAGTTACTTTCTCGCACACATCAGTGGGTTTGACATTGTTGACAACGAAAGTGAGCGCGAGCCGGACACCCTCATTGAGACCCCACCATCCCAATGGACCGTCCTTGATAACCCGCCCTTTACATATTGGGTGTATTACATGTGGGCGAATATCACTGCACTGAATCGCTACCGTGCAGCACGGGGGTTCTCCACCTTTACATTTCGTCCACATGCGGGAGAGAGTGGAGATCCGGATCATATGGCGGATGTGTTTTTTGTTGTCGATGGGGTAAATCACGGCATTAACCTTAAGAGGTCACCTGTTCTGCAGTATTTATACTATCTGGCACAAATTCCTCTCGGTATTACACCCCTATCAAACAATGCGCTCTTTTGCAAATATCGTGACAATCCATTTCCCATATTCTTCCGGCGTGGACTCAATGTGGCACTCGCCACAGACGGAGCCCTCATCTTCCACCACACCGAGCAACCACTTATTGAGGAGTACAGCACAGCAGCAAATTTTTGGAATCTTTCCATGGCAGATGTGTGTGAGATTGCCAAGAATAGCGTGATGATGTCTGGATTTCCATCGTATCGAAAGAAGGCCTGGTTGGGAATCTTGTGCGAACTGCGCAGTGCGGCCGGCAACGATGTGCGCCTGTCAAAGGTGCCACATTCACGGTGCACATTCCGGTATGAAGTGTACATGGAGGAACTTAGCCACCTGCAAAGAAAAGCCGCGTTGGACATTCCACTGAAGCCGATTATGGATGCGCAACTGGAAGGACTTTGCACGATGGACGTGGTTGGCCTCACACGCGAGCAGGTCATTGAGCGGCGCTTGAATGGCCAACCCATTCTGGCGGATACAGATACTGAGGCTGATAAACAACAAAAGGTCCATGACACTCAAATGTTCCTTGTGCGACTTGGTCCACGCATCACCGCGCCTTCACGACTATGACAACATGTTGTTCTTGCTGCTGCTGCTGTTTTTTTTTTTTTTGCTCTTTTTTTAAGGGTTGTTTTTCTTTTTCTTTTTTTTTTTACAACTTTTCTATTATGCGTACGACTCTGTTGTTCTTGTTGTTTGTTTGTTTGTTTCCCTCCGCCTGCTGATTAAAGTAGAGGAACATTTATGCATTTACTCTGCGTGTGCATGGATGAGTCGATGTGTGTGTGTGTGTGTGTTTCTTTTTACTCTTTGCTGCTTCTTTTTTGTCCATGCTCTCTGCGATTTCTTTGCCTCTTCCCTTCTTGCAGATTCTCTCAATCGTGTGTTTTGCTGGCGTGTAAGGAAGCAGAGGAAGAGAAGCAGGGGGAGGGAAAAGTTACAAAAAGACGAGAAGGGAGAGACTGAAATTAACGAAAAACGAAGGGTGGTGGAAACAGCGACGAAACCAACGTGCGGCAAAAACAAAGAAGAAGAGGGAGGCAGTAAATAAACACACTAAAAAAGAAAGAAGAGAAAATATTTAAAAAAGGGGGCAACATGCGTCGGTCCTCTGCAGTCATGCCGCTGCTTTCTGGCAGCCGCGGCTACCGCGTTGGGTGGCGAAATGCCCTGTTGGCATCCGCGTGGAGTGTTTTCCCAGCCGTGTTTGCTCAAACGGCCATGGAGAGTCGCGCCCTCCAGGCCGTCCCGTTACTTAAAAGCCCCAGGGGTACGAATAAAAATGAAGGCCGTTCCATGGGGCGCCCGTCGATCCCCGGCGGTGACAATGCAACCAGACTGTTTCTGCGTCGAGGCCGAACCACGAGGCAAGCGCCCGATGTTCCGCGTGAGGAGGATGCTGAGGGAGAATTTCAGACGGGCGTCTCGAGTAAAACCGGGGTGTCTGAGAACAAAATTCTTCGTGCGTTTGATCGCTGGGCTGAGAGAAGCGGTGGGTGCAGTGCCAATGAGTTCCTTCAAGGTGTGCATCAATCGTACTACGGTCTTGGTGTGCTCTGCGAGACACTTGCAGAGGCGGCAAAGCCACAGTTACCCCTTGGCAAAATTGTTCCCTTTGCGGGTGCTCTTGCACAGCTGAAGGGACTTTTGACCAAGCAGTACGCCATTAGCCCAAAGGGTCTTGCCGATGAGGTGAAGGCGGTTGCGGCAAAGTCAGGGAAAGAGGGACTCCGAACCTCAAAAGTAGTAGCGGAGGCATTGGCGCAGATCATCCCCATCTCCCTTGAGCTTGCCGAGAACATGTACAACATGTGGAACAAGCAGCGGATATTTGACTCCAACGTACTCCGTATTGCTGCAACAAATGATTATATTCTGTCAACAAAAATGATTTTTTTCCATGAATGTCATAATATGAAAGAGGTTCACTTTTGCGATGATACCCAGCTGTCGGTCATAGTCGTTCCCCCGCCAGCTAACGCGGGGGACGGGAGCAGAAGAGGCCCCAGCGTCACTAGTGATAGACGGGAAGAGTCCACCACGGATCATGAGATAGCGTCTGAGACAAAGTTGAAAATGGGGGAAGTAGGGGATTCAGCCACGGATAACGCGGAGGGGAAGAAACAGTTGAAGGGCCAGACAATTATTACTTTCAGAGGACGCCCCCTACCAACCATACCTGCTAGTGCCGTCGCGTGCGCTGTGGCTTCGATTGACGTTGTGACGCCCCCGCAACGCTACGATCCCAGTTTTGACTGGTATTACCAGCGTATCACGGGCCATGAGAGTGAGTACCAGCGAATTGCAGTTGCACGTTTCTTTGCCATGTCGAACGCCCAGACGATTTTGGCTCCACTTGACTTTCTTGTTCGGATGTGTACCGGCCGCCATCTAGAGCTCGCATGCCCCCCAGGCATCTCGGACATGATTGGTATCCCAAAGAACATCGCGGAGTGTCCACCGGCTATGCGCAAACTGTTGTGTTACTACCTGGACGCGGATGGTCGTTGGGTGCTGTCGGATCTGCTTTGGGTGGACACCGTCACGACGCCGATGATGCCAAAACCCGTCTCTGCTTAATTCGATAGGAAGCCAGAAAATATATATATATATATATATATATTTCGACAAAGCCACACAATCATATGCCCGATCTTCTGAAACGAAGCGACTTGAAGCTCGTAAACAACAACGGAAGGAAAAATAATTAAAAAATTAAAAAAAGGATGAAACGACTTTTTATTTCCTGTTGTATTTGTTTTCATCCTTTTGTCAGTGTTATCAGGAGTTCTACCAGCAGCCACTCGTGGAGGAAGGAAGCAACGAAGACGAAATGGACCCAACTGACCGGAGGAGCGGGCAACGGTTGGAGTAGAGAGAGAGAGAGAGAGAGGGCGAGGGCGAGGGCGAGTGTGTGAGTGAGGGTTGAGGGAAGGAAACAGAACGATTTCTTCCACAATATATACATATATTGATATTGGCATTGGTATATATATATTTATTTATTTATTTATTTTACCGTGGGAATTTTCTTCTTGCCCTTTTTTTTTTTTTTTTTTTTTTAGTGAAGACCTTCCTCTCTCCCCTCGCACGATAACACTCACTCAATCACTCACTCACTCACTCGAGAAAAAACCAAAACGAATAGAAAGACAAAACAAAAAGGAAAAAAAAAAGGGATGGAGTTGTTTTATTTCTGTCTTATCTCCTTCTTTCTTCCTTTTTTTTTTTCTTCTTTTTTTGTTTTGGTTTTTTCTTTGTGGTTTCCGTTTGGCAGTCTGCGTTAGAGACTGCACGCTCTGTGGGTGTTGCTGTTGTTGTATTCCTTTGCAAGATCACTTGTTGCATTTGCGGGTGCGTGGTGTATTAATTGTTGTTGTTGTTGTTTTCTATTCTATTCGGGCATGTGTCTTTGTGTTCATGCATCCTTTTATACATACGCAAAAAGAGAGAGTGAGAGAGAGAGAGAGAAAGAAGGAAAGAGAAGGAAGGATAAATGAGATGCAGCAAAGAAATCCTCAGCGTCTTCAGCCCTTGTCTAACAATCCTGACGGTGCCCCGGGTTCATCACTGCAAGCTATAAAAGTGCAGCAAAAGGCTCGTGAAGAAGAAGAGAGGATTCGTTTGAAGCGTGTAAAGGGTGCTATTGTACTTGTTTTGCAATTTCTACTTGATCAAGGCTACACCGGGACGCTGCAGACGTTGCAGCAGGAAAGTCACGTTTCGCTGCAACATTTTTGCCCCGCAGACAACGTAGACCTCCTTAGCATCATTACAGAGTACGAGCAGTACTTTGAGTTTCGGTTTAATCGTCGAGTAAAGTTGTTTCGGGCTGTGGAAGGTGCACAAGATGTTTGGAGGGAGGCTCAAAATGGGGAGTGCGTGGCGGTGCGGCGGCAGCGAACTGCTTCCCCTGGCGCACCCGCAAGACGAGCGGCGGCCCACGCGAACAATAACAAGGTCAATTACGCCAATGTCGCAAATTTAGGGAGCGCACCACCCGGTGGCCTACAGGAGACACAACGTCCTGGAGGACAGCCGCCCACAATTGCGCGGGGCTTGGCGCTTGCCCAGAGGCCACCCACGCCACTCTCCCCTCAGCGTCTCCGAATTAAAAATCAGAAGAAATTAGCGGGAAATGGAGCCGGACTTATGGCTGTGGAAGGAATGCGTGTAGATGTTGTGCCAGATCCTCAGGGCAATAGTAATGGGATTGAAGAAGATGAAGATATGTTTTTTGGACGTGCGTTGAAGCCACTTCCCAGTTTCCTTTCGGTGGAGCAGCAGGAATTGGCCATGACCATTCAGCGGGAAATTTTGGACGTTAACCCCAATGTTCGTTGGAGTACCATAGCAGAGTTAGATCAAGCGAAGCAGTTGCTAAAGGAGGCAGTAGTCATGCCTGTCAAGTACCCAGAGTTGTTTTCAGGTATACTACGACCCTGGAAAGGTATCCTTCTTTTTGGACCACCTGGTACCGGCAAAACCCTTCTCGCGAAGGCTGTGGCAACAGAGTGCCGGACGACGTTTTTTAACATATCTGCTTCCAGCGTGGTCTCCAAGTGGCGTGGTGATAGTGAGAAGCTTGTCCGACTGTTGTTTGATCTTGCAGTGCATTATGCACCGAGCACCATATTTATTGACGAGATAGACTCCCTCATGTCTTCTCGCTCTGGTGAAGGTATGCATGAAGGGTCACGACGGATGAAAACAGAGCTTCTTATTCAGATGGACGGTCTCTCAAAGAGGCGAGGCGGAGATGTCGTCTTTGTGTTGGCAGCAAGCAATGTACCTTGGGACCTTGACACGGCGATGCTTCGTCGTTTGGAGAAACGCATTCTTGTGGGTTTGCCATCCCATGAGGCGCGTGCGATGATGTTTCGACAAATTCTAACCCCTTCTGCTTCAGCACCAGATCTGGATTGGAACCTCTGCGCAGAACTCACGGAAGGCATGTCCGGTGCTGACATTGATGTGGTGTGTCGTGAGGCAGTGATGCGGCCGATACGTTTGTTGATTGAAAAACTGGAGCGTGCTGGCAGCCCGATGGAGTTGACAGGTGGGTTACTGCAGCGGCCGCAGGTAACCATTAAGGACATCATGGCAAGTGTGGCGTGCACACAAAGTAGTGTGCAAAGATCGGATTTGGAAAAGTTTGACGCGTGGGCAAAGAAGCACGGCTCGGGTGTTTCCTCCTAAGTGCTCTGCACGTGTTTTTTTTTTTGTTTGTTTGTGTTTTTATTTACTGGTTGGTTTGTCTGTGTCGTGGTGACGCCACGGTGTGTCCAGTGCAGTGAGGAATGTGTGTTCTCTGCGGAAGGGGCACAAGCACATACGTCCCCTGAAGACCACATGCAAAGAGGAGAAAATAACTCGGGGAAAAACCACAGAAAAAAAAAACACGAGAGGACTGCATTGTTGATTGATGACCTCATTTTTTTTTTTTTTTTTACTCGGCGTTTTGGCTGTTGGTCCGTTCTGTATTCTGTGCTTTCCAAAGGACTTTTCAACAGCCGGCAGAGGGGGGCGCGGGGGAAACACCATCTCCCACATCCTCTTTCTCTCTCGTTGTATCTCTCCAACGTTTGTGTGGGAGAGGGAGAGAAAAGAAGAGGTCGGAAGGAAGTAGCGAGGAGGGGGAGAAGGAAAGGCTGGGGAAAATAGAGAAGAGAAGGGAAACACAGACACTCACACACCAGAAAAAAAAAAAGGAGACGTTGTGTAGTTGAAGAAATGGAAACCACAAGGGAGCGTGTCCCTGTTGTCATCTTGGACACCGGTTCGCACTGTCTGCGTGCGGGATACGCGGATGAGCAGGGGCCGCGTCTTGACATCCCCGCCCTTGTTGGTCACCCCCGCAACCGAGGCGTGGCGATGGCTGCTGGGATGAATGAGTACGAGATTGGAGAGGAGGCGCTCGTGAAGCGTGGAATGCTCACTGTTGGTAGTCCTATCGAAAATGGCCTTGTGGTGAACTGGGAACACATGGAAAAGTTGTGGAGTCACGTGATGTTCTCAGAGATGCGGGTAACACCGGAGAGTCACTGCTTTGTTGTACCGCAGCCAGTGAACACCCCAGCGGCGCAAAAGGAGAAGACATTGGAACTCATGATGGAGACTTTTCATGTACATTCACTCTTTTTAGGAACGTCTCAGGTTCTGAGTCTGTATGGATACGGTCTGACAACAGGGTTGGTGCTTGATAGTGGCAAAGACCGCACGATGGCGGTTCCTGTGCATGAGGGTTATGCACTTGGTCGTCATGTGACAGAAAGTGAGATTGCAGGAGAAACCCTGACAAACTACCTCGCCTCCCTGTTACGGCAGGAAGGGTACAGTTTTGGCACCCCGGTTGAAATGCAAGTTTTAAATAAAGCCAAGGAGGAGCTGTGTTACGTGCGATTGAATGAATTTGGGGTTTACAGTCCTGTACATTCTCTCGGAACTTTAGGAAACGCAGCGGCGTTTGATTACAATTTTAGCAGCAGTGCTCAGCGGCCGGGCAGCTCTCCGGTGCCGGCAACGGAGGAAGTTTTTTTCCTTCCAGACGGCAACGCCATCCCACTGGCGGAGCATCGCCACCTTACGACGGAAGTCCTTTTTAACTTTGGTATTATGGGCGAAGAGTATATTCCTAAATCACGCTACATGACCGAATTGGGGGAGATTTTTAATCCTTCCTTCCCTATGGGAATTAGTTGGTTGTCATTTGCCGCCATCAATAACTGTCAACCGGCAATGCGGCCATCCCTTTTTGCACACATCGTTCTTGCGGGTGGAAATGTCTCTTTCCCAGGCACCAGGGAGCGGATAGAGGCGGAGGTGACCCGGCTATACAGGGAGACCCATGCCAGCGAGGCGGTGACACCAATCTGCGTGCATGATGTGGAGTGTCGCATTTACAGTGCCTGGCTCGGTGGCTCCATGCTGGCGCGAACGTCCATGTTCCCACATTTAACTGTCTCGCGACAGGAGTACGAGGAACAGGGTTACCGTGTTGTGCATTGCAAATGCCAGTAGAGATTGGATGTATACACATGTTGAGAGTGAGAGTGAGAGAGAGCTGTGGTAATGTTAATGTATAGGTGCATTTTTTTTTTTTTTTATTTTATTTGTTTTATTCATTGTGCACGGTGAAAAGCGGGGAGGCGAGAAGGATGAAGTTTCTTGTGGCTCTCCTTTTGAATTATTTATTTTTTCCTTTTAAATGGAAAGAGGTTGTAAGACACGAGGGAAGAATAACGAAAGAAAAGAAAAGAAAAGAAAAAAATGTAACACGAGAGTTTTTATCAGGTGAAGTGATGAGAGGCGATGAAAAAAGAGATTGGCAGAAAACATATGAAAGAAAAGAAAACATATCTACGCATGTGTTCACTACGTTTCTGTATAACTTTACTGGTATTTTTTTTTTTGTACGTCTTGCCTCCTTTTAAATGTGTACGCATGAATGGGCAATGTGCGATCCTTCCCCCGCAGTGGGACAGTGTACGCTTGTTGGTTGCGGCTGTGGAACTGCGGTGGGGGGGGAAAGGAAAAATGCGTTCCGGCCTGTTTAATGCGGAGGGACTTGCGAAGGAACCCGTCAGTGGGTTTGAGAAGATAACGGAGGGGACAGCGGCCGTTTTATTTCCACCGGCGAACGTCAAAGGCACTTCAGCCAGCCAGCATGCAGACTGCACGAAGAGACAAGGCGATCATCGCGATGCAGATGACATTGACGATGACGGTCAGGCCGTCTTTTACAATCCTGCGCAGGTGGTCAATCGTGACCTGAGTGTATGTGCACTGGCGTGTTTTTCACATCTACGCCGCGAAGAGCCTCGCCGCAAGGGGGGCACGCGTGATGGCATCACTATTCTGGAGGCGCTGAGTGCAACGGGTCTCCGGGCCATCCGCTACTACAACGAGGTCCCTGGTGTTCGTTTTATCATCGCAAACGACCTCGACCCCGACGCCGTTGCATGCATCCGTCGTAACTGTGAGTTTAACGGTGTGCCCTGCGCCAGGCCGACACTGACAGAAAACTTCCCACCGGAGGGCATTCGTGTGGATGAGGCCACTGGAGAAATCGAAGCTGGTGGTGCGGTGATACCAAATCTGGACGACGCGAATGATTTGATGTTTCGTCTGGCCGCAAACTCCACCGTGTACGCTGGACGCCGTTTTTGCGCGATACCATCCCAGATGGCGACTAACATCACCACTTCTAATGATGACGCCAGCGTGAACGAGGCGCATCCGTTGCTGCAACAGGAGCTGATGGATGTGGTGGATTTGGATCCATACGGTTCAGCCTCTCCCTTTTTGGATGGTGCTATGCGGTGTATCAAGGAAGGGGGATTGCTGCTTGTGACAAGCACAGACAGTGCCATTTTGTGTGGGGGACACCCGGACACATGTCATGCCAAATACAACACAATCCCTACAAAGAATGCTGCATGTCATGAAATGGCTGTGAGAATTCTTCTTGCCGCGTTGGAGCGCGTTGCAAATAAACACCGCAGGTATATTTTACCCCTGCTCTCACTGCACATTGACTTTTACGTCCGATGCTTTGTTCGTGTCTATACGCAACCAGCGGAAGTAAAGCTCAGTCCATGCAAATTGGGGTACCTTCTGCAGTGTAGTCATTGCCCAGCGTACTGGGTGCGCCCAATGGCAGTTGCTCGTATGCGAGACAAGAAGTGTGCACGAAAGAAAAACAAAATGCCCAACAACGATCTATTGAAGAGTTCTATTAGCAGTGGAAACAATAATGATAATAACAATATAAATGATGCTTCCAAGGGCAATGATATGGGGAATGACCATGCGGAATGTAGGGCTGATACGCTTGGGAGGGAACGCTTTCCTGCAATACCTTTGAGGCAGGAGAATCCAAAAATCACATCTTGTAGTTTGCGGCATATGCTTCCATGTGTAAACACGCACTGCTGCAATGTATGTGGTGCTTCTCTGACGTTGTCGGGTCCAATTTACGCTGCCCCAACGCACTGCGTTTCGTTCCTTTTGCAACTCCTGCAGGAAGTGGAGCGGCGTGGTGCCGCAAAACAGATTACGGCAGAGGCACGTGTTGCTGGTCTGGTGCGTCTGGCCATGGAAGAGTTGCCTGACACCCCGCTGTTCTATCAAATTCCCGACATTGCCTCCTTTGTGAAGGTGCGATGCCCACCCACGCCACAACTCGTGGGCGCACTGGGGCGAATGGGATATCGATGCAGCCAAGTTCATTGTGCCCCATCGGGGCTTAAAACGGACTGTCCGCCCGACGTTCTTGTCCGTGTGATGTTGCAGTGGAAAAGGGAGCAGGAACAGGCATCTGGTGATGCTGAGAAGGGCAGTTGTGATGCGGCGAAAGCAGCTGTATTGAGCGCCACAGCAGCTGAGGCCATAAACGAGAAGGCGGGGGAAGAAGAGAAGAGGGGTGCTGGTGTCTTTTTGCTGGAGCCAATTGACGGGGCCGATTTTTCATACGACCGACGGTTTGATTTTCGCGGCGCTGTAACGGGTGTAGCCAAGTTCATTCCAAATGCGCCGAACTGGGGACCGAAGCGACGTCATCAGGGCGCCATGCATAACAATGATGAGCAATTGACACAGAAACAGCGAAAAGAGTAACACGAAGCACAATCTTTTCTTTGTTGTTGTTGCTGTTTGTTTGTTTCTTATATTTGACGACCGTGGAGATGATTGGAAAGAAAAAGAAGAAAAAAATCAACGTTGCACTGTGTTTGTGTGTGTGTTGGGGCTGAGTGAGAGGGGCAAGGTTTGGATTGTATTTCCAGACGACACATCGCCATTTTGAGGAGCGGAAGCTGTCTGCATCCACCTCCTTTTTTGTTCATGTTGTTACGTTTTTTTTTTTTTTTTTTTTTTTTTTTTTTTTGGTGTTACTTCTCTGCATTTTGCATCTCGGCTGCCGTGACTCTCATTTTTGTTTGTTCTGCCTTTGTGCGTGTATGGTGGGGCATTGTGACTGAAGGAGAAAAACACGATACCCACGGCCTGACGAAAAGAAGGCGGGTAGGTTGCCCAGAGAGAGAGAGAGAGCGGAGTGGGAGTCAACTTTTTTTCCTGCTGCGTCGGGCGTTGTTCCCGCCAAACATATATATACAGCGGAAAAAGAAACATCATAGATATAAACAGCAACTTTAGAAGACACCTCCAACATTTATCTCAATGTTGCGCTGCTCCCCCGGACGCCATTACATCTTTGATGCGTGTTATGTGCTCAACCTTGACCGCCGACGGGACCGCTGGGCCCATGTTCAGCGGCAAATTGCTCGCGTCGGGCTTGAAAAGTTTATACAGCCGCCCGCAAAGGTTACCCGGGTGAGTGGCGTCGATGGGAACTCGCTTGATGTGGAGGCGTTGCATAGGGACGGTGTCATTACAGATCTTGGCTATACCCGCTTTCTTCTTCCCACGGAGGAGAAGCTGTTTGGAATGGATCTCACACGCGGCGCCATTGGCTGTGCGCTTGGGCACCGCAAGATATGGGAGATGATTGTGGCGGAGCGACGCACACGTGCGTTGGTGCTCGAAGACGACGTTGAGTTTCACCACAAGTTTGGTCGGCTGCTGGGGCCACTGTGGAAAAGGGTACCAGCAGATTGGGGCATTGTGCATCTGGGTGGACTGGACCTTCTTGCCGCGGAGAAGCCACCTCGACCATTCATTGACGACGGCATTCGCCTTGCCTATCAGGGCCATCGTGAACTTACCGCATATGTCATTCATCACATCTCTGCAAAACGCTGTCTTGAATTGTCAACGCCAATGACATGGCAAGTGGACACGCATATTAGCAATATTGTGGAGTCCGATCCGGAGGCGCAGGACAAGTATATTGTAGACCCCAAGATGTACGTGTTTCAGCCTTCTCTTGCGATTCAAATCACCTCCTTCGGAACCGATGTGCAGAAGCGACCATCTGAAAACCCTCCACTTGAAGACGCCGCGCGGCGAATGCGTGAATTTATTGGTGGAGGGACTTCTGTGCGCTGAAATTTGGTGCATCTGCGCTCGCAGATTTTCGTTGACGAGTTTGTGTTTCTGCATTTGTACGCACGTGAGCCTCTGTTTTCTTTTTGTCTCACTCACTCTTCCCGTTTGCCCGTATGTGGGGACATGCTTCCTTGTTTGTTTGTCTTTTGTTGTTGTTGTTTTGCTCTTGCTTCCCGATATCTCTTTATTTGTGTGAGCCGTCGTCAACATTAGCCATTCAGATTAAAGTACACACCGCGTGAAGGCAATCGTGTCTGGAACCGGCGTGTGTGTTTACTCCACCACCACCCACAGCGCTCTCGCACATTACCCTATATACACATAGACAGGGAAAGCGAGAAGGGTTTCAATAAAGACCGAGCAAAAAAGTGGTGGGAATTTTATTTACGCCCGAGTTTACACCCACCGTCTTGCGAAATGAGTTCAAATCCGATTGATTTTGGTAGCAGCCTCACGCCACGCGGAAGAATGAGCCTGCAAGATAATGACAACTCCACCTCCTCTAGCGGAGGCCCTCTCGGCACCGTTCTTTCTGTAACAACACAGACGCGGTCCATGAAAATGCAGGGCAGCACGAGCAGCTCAAGTTTGAGGACATCTCTGCAAGGAGTCAAACTGCCTAAACGACGTCTTTTGCCTGCGGCGGAAGACGATCCGGTGATGAATCGTTTGCAGTTCCGCTACGCGACAAAGCCAAAGGAACGGATGTATGCCAATGTACCAACAGCCGTGAATCGCTTAACCGCGAGTGCGGGAGGGGATTTGCGGGGTGAAGTGGAGGCTTCCACAGCGGCCATCCATCAGGAGACTGTGGGAATGCTCTGCAGAAACCTCCCGCTGATTGCGGATCCTTCCAGCGAAATAGAAGCGGTATTGGGGTCCATCGAAACGGAGCGTCCGAAGAAGACAGCGAACTTGGATGATCGCATTACTCCCCAAACTCTCTATAAGCTTCTGCATACAGGGCGTGCCTTGGCCTCTAAGATGGCCTCAAAGAGAAAAGCCCAAGAAGTATTGGAAGATCTGAAAAAATTTCCTAATAAGAAGTTGGATGATCTACGCACACAAGTAACACGATTGGAGCCGCCCTATGTGGATCAAATGCTGCAAGCAAAAGTGTTTAACAGATCACAGAACGATGAAGATTTGAGACCACGTGAGGCATTCCCTATTACTTTGCTGGACTCTGAAGATAAAAAATTGAACTGGCGGCCAGAACAGGAATGTCATTCTCACGTTTTGGCGCCACCTCCGACACGCAAAGAAAATAGGGAAGTAAGACAGAAATTGTCTCTTTTCTCTCCTTCTTCGCATGCAGGAGATTCCCCTGAAAACGTGGCGGTTGCCTTAAATGTGCCGTTAACACTTTCTACCGGCATGGGAGATGATACCGGTATCATTGACCAATTTGTTTCCTATGCCTCCGCACGACGACGACCTGAAATTGGTGGTGGTGTGCATTCAGATACAGTGGCTGGCATCCCACGTCCTCATCCGTCATACAACCCCGTCTTTTCCGCACTAGATGCCGTACTTGCTGTAAGTAAAGAATATGAGAAGGTCCAACAAACATGGCCAGGGGCCAGTACACGGCAAATGAGTGCCTCACGTCAAGCCATCATTGATCGTATTGCATCGTGGGAGTCTTCACGCATTCCACGTTCTCTGTGGGTAACCGTTAGCGATCCCACCTTTCCTGGCTCTAGGCTTCATCAGTTAGATGAGGATGCCTCGAGTGGCGCTCCCAAGAGGAGTTCTATTGTGTTTCCTGCAGTCAAAGCTACCGGTCGCGCGCAGGTGTATCTACTTGCAGACGCCCTGGATCGTATGTTTCAGGAGATTCCAGACACCCTCGCTGTGTTGGCAGACAGGGAGACTGCGAAAATTCTCTTGCCCGAGGCGCCAGAAAACGATGACCTCATTGTATACAGGGATTTAGCGGATGTGGAAAGGATTATGGACTTAAAGGCCTTAAATGAGTCGGATTCTGCCCATCGGAAATACATCGAGGCCGCAGAGAAAGTCATGGAAGTTGTCGATGTGGGTCTCGTTGAAATTATACGGCAGGTGGCCGGTTCATGCAAGGAGCGTGGTGCCTTATTGGATGTCCTTCGCCTTCTTATCAAGGATGTCATCTCAAGTTGCCTCTGGCTTATTGGTTATTGTAAGGATCAGGCTCGACGTGAGGCAAAAGCACGCCGTGAACTAATTCAGGCCTCTAAAGAGGATGTGGAGGAAGTTATGATGTTGCGAGAGGAAGTGAGAAAACTGAAACAAGAGGAGGAGATAATGCGTGGCGCCAATGCTGAGCTTGAGCAGAAAGCTTCCAAGTACGACACCCTCATTGATCGTCTGAAGTTGAAGGACAAGAATTTTTCCCGACACCCGGTTCATAAGCATCTGCGTCTTTTGATGGAATTGGAGGAGGATTATACAAAAATGACAACAAAGGGCCTTGAAGAATTATATAAGCATCAGAACGCACAGCCCAGTGATGAACCGAAAGTATATGATGCTCCCACAATACACATGAATAGTGTGAGACAGGAAGAGCAACAAATTTCACAGGAAGAATTATATACAGAGTCCTATCGCCTTCTTGCCGCAGTAACAGAGGCGCTGCGGGTGGTGGACGTGACATGTGAGCCACTGTATGATCGTATTGCCTTGCCGCCCCTCGGACCGACGTCAAAGGTAGCGTCCATGAGGTGGGCGGAGATTGCCAATGCTGTGGGCTCCTACGAGGTTGAGAAAAAACACCGTCAACACGTGTTTGAGTTGTTTGCACGGTGGAATGAGATGCAAGGGAAATCGGGTGCCACCTCCGCTCAACCGTCGGGTTTGGGCGGGGAGATAACCGATTCGGAGGCCCCTCAGTCCCCGGATGAGAAGAGCCCACACGAAAAAGCGGCACCATATGAATTTCAGACGTTAGGCTTGGAGGCGGAAATGACGGATGATCTCAGGAAACGGGTCCAGTTTATTACAAGGAAAGATCTTGCGGACATGGGCGTGACGGACTGTTCGCCGGATGAGATTAACGCGATGTATAGTCCCGATTTTGACATTTCAGCGTTCCTTCGAATTGAGTACAATCCACCCGGTGAGTACGAAATGACCCCAAAAATTCTTCGGGACATGGTGCACGATGTAACGGAGGTGTTGCGGCACATTACACTCCGTATGAATGCTCTCGCAAACAGTGGCTTGGTCAAGGAAGGCGTCAAGCCGCCTCTGCAGGCGCCTGCACATCCAGAGGAAGCATGCATGCTTTGTGGTCGACGGGATCGCGTGGCGATGGAAAAGAAGAGCAGAGGTGAGACAATGCAACGGGTGGCAGGCGAAATTCAACGGCGTTACGATGAGATGGTCAAGAAGTGCCAGAGGGCGGAGTCGGAGCGGGAAAATTACCGCAGGGAAATTCAGCGCTTCCAAATACGGGAGAAGAAACAAATTGAGGAGTGGGGAATCCGAGAAAATGAGTTGCGGCAGGAAAATGCCGCGCTCCTGGAGGAAAATCGGCGGCTGGCGCAGCAGGCATATTCAGCAGGGACCTCCTCCGGGGATGTTGAGACTGAGCATGGCACCGTGGCATTTGTGCGGAACCGCCTCATGTCGGATGCCATGTCGTTGAGCTCTGAAGAATTTACGAGTGAATATGGGGACGAGGAGGATGAGCAGAGTGGCCCGCCTGATGAGTCCGAGAATGCTCTTTAGTAAGGGGACGGAAGGGCCGGGAAGAACAGGAAGAAGGAGTTTACATGGACAAATCCTTTTCATTATGTTATCTGCAGCAATTGTTGCAAATGGAGCAACAAGTGCATGGCATTAACAAGAAATGAGGAGGGAGAGTGGATGGTTGGAGTCGCAAGGGGCCCCTGTTATGGTTTTTGATGAAGTTGCTTGTTTGTTTGAAATATGTACTCATATGTATGTATGTATATATGCGTGTGTAGGATACGTGCTGGGTTTTTGAGTTGTGCCTCTCCCTTTTTTTTTTTTTCTTTTTTTTTGTTTGTTTGTCTTTTATACGTGCACCTTTAATATCTGTGGTATTTGATATTTATTTTTATATTTGCATGTATTTCAAATCTATGCGATGTAACACACATGACCTGTTCTGCAATCAAACGATACGCGTGTATTCCGACTTCTTTTTATTTATTTGTTTGATTTTTTTTTTTTCTGTTTTGATGTTTTCTGCCTTTTTGTTTGTTTGTTTGTTTATGTTTTTTGTTTTCCCTTTTTTTTCTCTTTTTTTCTTCTTTTTGTGTTGGAGGTCCTTTTCTCTCCGCCGCACATACACACACATCAAACGCTCACTGGCTCCTCTGCGGCAATCCGTCAGGCATTCGGATATTTTTTTTTATTTTTTTTTATTATTTTTTTGTTTGTTGTGGCGGGGTGGCACGGTGAATTGTCGCCCCGCCGTCAAAGATGCTCGAGCCCCCACACACCGCACACGCGGAAGTCAACCTGGAGAAGTTGGAGCAACTCGTGGCGAACATCAACACGAAGTATGCCGCACTGCAGCGGCAGGCGTTGCACAGTTCGAATAGTCATCCCACGTTTTTTAACGGCCTCACGGCGGAATACGTGAATTCCGAGACGAAAATGTCGTTTCAGTCTGGCAGTCCAAGCGAAAACGGCCATGCTTCTGTCCCTGTGGATCCATTGCCTCCACTCACCCCATTTTGCAGGCCGCATTGGCCAACCTACTGGAACGAGCGGGAACTGCATGTTGCGGCATCCGAACTATGCCAATGCCTGAACGGCGGTGTCAACTACCGCGCAATGTGCATACAATACCAGACAATTTTTGAACTTCTCCTGACGATGCTAAGGGAAGATATTCGGTTGGTGCGTGGCATGGAGTTTCTTCCAAGTGGAACGCTGGAGAGATCATACAAAGTCCTTTCCGAGCTTATCAATGAATCCAGGCAACTCCTAACACAGTACGGTCTTATTCCAGGTTCCTCCATACGAGTGATGGAAGAAGTGGAAAATAAAAGTTCAAGCGAAGTGGGGGAAATGCCCAATCCGGATTACGCACTACCCGTTGCGCTTGCATGCAGTGACTCCTATAACAACAGTACCAACAACAACAATTTTATTCATCAAATTAGGTCGTCGGACAAGAGCGGCTATGGAAGAGGGCATGGAACCAAGCATGAGACACGCGTCACGATCAGCGACCCTTTAGAAGATTCATTGAGGGAAACGGCATACACACCGCTGCATCTATGCTCTTCCCCAGGAAAACCTGTGGTGGATGACAGTTACGATGTCGACACCCCCATGTTGCCAGTAGAGGAAGAAAACGCAGCAACTGAAAGTCAGGGCGTTCAAGGTGCCAAATTCGGGGGTTATTATGGGGGGGCTAGAACGAACTTGGACCCCGCCAATCAGTCACGTTATCAATCGATGGAAGAACTTTACAAGGAACTGTATCCCAATGAGGGAATGGAGATGTTGGTTGCAATGACGCGAATGGTCTTTTTAAAAGAGTATCACAATGTTGTAGCAAGATCGCGAGATGAGGCCTTTTTAACCTTTAGGAAGCATCTGGACGAACACCTGTTACCGTGTATTCAAAGCTATGAGGCACTTGTTTTCCCCCCGGCAATGCAGTCCTCACTGCGTTCCGAGTATGTAGTGAATTGTTTGCAGCAACGTATTAGACCCAATGAACGACTGCTGGACGTCTTGTCTCGCGTTGGACCTGAGCGTGATCTTTCATCGATGGCTCTTGCAAGCATGAATTTGAATGATGTAGATATGAAACCATTTGTTTTAGTGCTACCGAGATTATGTTTTCTTCGCTTCTTGGATATAAGCCACAATGACATTCATGACGATGGCGTTCGCGAGTTGTGCTCCGTCCTTGAGCGTCACCCATCGTTGGAGGTGCTTGACCTCTCGGATAATCCCTTCACCGATATTGGTGGGACGGCGTTGTTGCAACTCGCAGCCACCACAACGCAATTGAAGGCGGTAGGCCAGCAGGGCGTGGCATTCAGCGCACATATCCGTGAAGCAATTAGTCGACAACTACAAAAGAACCGCAGTGCGTGCGACTCCGCATTGGGACCTGCGCATATTTCTCACCTATCTAGTATTTCTAACACCCATGAGCCGTGCAAACCTGCCTTCACTGGACGATTGGCGCCCCTGACGGCGTTGGACGGAACACGGTGTGTGCCGGCAAGGAGACGCTCGAACTTAGGCGTGATACCAGGCCCAGGAACAGACTCAATGGTTTCCCGTAGTTTAGGCATGTTGCGTCGAGTGCGTCTGCCGTACCTGACGGCATTGCGTGGCGGCCCCTCAACCGGCGGAATACGTGAGAGTAATAGCAGCCCCCGCTGACACATTGCAGCAACAAACGAAAGAAAGAAAAGGTCGTTCGAGTTGATGACGGCTTCAATATGAAGTCGGAAAGGAAGAAATGGATGTTTATTTAAGAAGTGTAAATGCAGAAGAAGAGGGGAAAAAAAAAGGAAAAGGAAAAGGAAAAGGAATATGAAAGGAATAACAAAAGAAAATGGAAATGGAAATTAAAAAGAATTGCCCGTATCGACATTGTGGTGGTAAATAAAAATAAAAATAAAGAAAGAATTATGTGTACATGCGTCGAAAGAGATAAAATGGGAGGGGGGAAAACAATAATAATAATAATAATAATAGAGGTTAAATGAGGAGCAAATGGAGGGTGTGACGCAATAGAAAAAGGCGCTACAACATGCACGTAGAGCCATATGTGTTACTTGTGTAGTATGCCGATAGATGTATGTATTTTACTGTACGTGTATGGCTGTGCGAGAGGTATTATTATTATTATTATTATTATTATTGTTACGCG